ACGGTCTTTCGGATGAGACGTTTTAAGCCTATGATCACTTTTGCAACATGGCCCATGTGCGCGTTAAAAAGTAGACTAACACTCTTCGGAGAAGATTGAGAAGTCTCCCAGTTTACTGCTCAATTGCCATTCACCACTAGAAGTGCGCTGCTGGATATAAGTCGTCTTCAAATATTCGTGGGTCAGTTACATCAAATAACTCCAATCCAATCCATCAACTGACACTTCGGAAGGGTCCACATTTTAAATACTGTATAACCTTTAAAATGTTTCTTCATCAATCACAGTTCCTTAATACGGCACTGTAACAGACGATTAAATTTTCTTTTATTCCAGTGTTCTGCTTGTAGTGAAGTCGCCTACTGTAGCAAGGAATGCCAGAAAACAGTTTGGAAATCTCACAAACCACGCTGTATGCAAATTCGGAAGACCGTTCAAGTGTTTGCAGAACGATATAGAAGTCAGTTTTCCCAAGATATTAAGAGAACCGAAAATGTATCCTATTATTTCGGGAACACCATTGCAATTGATGTCTTAAAGCTAGGTCTCAATGAGGCTGAACCATCGTCTGACGATGTTGCTCTTCAACTCTCAAGAGATTACAACATCTTATTCGCTGGTGTCGGAGACTTGCGCAACCTTTTGCTTACAACAGCATCTCTCCCAAGCAACTTTACTGGCAACATTCGATTTACTCTGAACGACATAGACCCATTCGTTCTGGCGAGAGATGCACTGTTCCTGTACATAATAATAACTCAGGCCTCGAAAGAATCAATCGAGCTGACAATAACGAATATATGGTATTCTCTTCAACTACCAGATAAAGATTTTCAGTTTCTTATTTCTACATTAAATGAACTTATTATGCACACTGTAGAAACGCTAAATGATGCCACATGCGGTCATTTGGTTGTCAACAAAGAAGACTTTGACATCATGAAGGAAGTCTGGGTAAAATGGCGAGATTTGGAATGTGAAACTGGAAATTGGAACGCAATCGATCTGGCAGGACAGAGAACAAACTTGTTCCGTAGTACTTCTGTCTCCTCCCAAGCTATGTCACTGTATTGTCAGATGATTCCTGAGAGATACATGGAATCTGCTACTCAATACTTTGTAGACGGCTTGTTTTTAAGAAGTAACCTTGAAAAAGGTAAATTAAGATTTGATAACCCTACACTTACTGGACGTACATCATCAATGAAAGAACCAATCTCCGTTGATCAATTACTTAAAATTAAACCGATGGCATATAACTTTGAATATTGCATCCCATCCGCCCACCTTCCATTTCGTGGTTGGGATTATAATCAAGCAAGTAAAATGTTTGAAGAAGATTCATTAGTTGATCTCTTTCATGTGTATATTGCCAGCGTCATCAAGAGTGCTTTGTCTTACTTTCAGAAAAGTAAAATCTTTTCTAACTGTTGTCTAAAAAATTGCATTGACATTTGCAATGAGCCAGACGTTGAGCCGAAGTATGACCGTATTATGACGTCAAACGTTGCCGATTTTACAGGAATCAAACAACTACTTTCATCAATGCGTCCTTTGCTGAGTACAACTAATAAACATGCTGTGCTCGTTACGGAAACTATGATTTGGCATGCATTTGTGCAAGAGGCTTATATATTGCACCCACTTAATAGATTAAAGATACAACCACTTTCAGAGGTCATGGTAAAAGATACCGGACGCCGAGAGCTTCAAAACATTGACCATACCAAATTCGACTACTTTGACAATACTTCATCGTTTATTCGTTACCTACAGCTTGTGTATCTAGCAACAATTAATAAGGAACGAAAAAATGATTACATTCCAACTCTTTCAACAATCGTCAGAAATATGGAAGGATTTACCCTCAACGACTTTACAAGTGGACTGAATAAGCTGGTTCCATTTCGATACCGTGTAAACGCTAGGGCATGCAATATGGAAAATGGATACCGGAGGAATCTAGAATGGAGGCTCTGTGCTGAGTATGGAAGCGGTTCTTCATAATTATTATCGAAAACTATCAACATTATATATATATATAT